CTCTATACCATGACAAAGTGAGTTCTAGAACATGGGGACTTTCACAGCCTGTGTGAACTGTGCGATGGATCAAAGATGATTAGTTGATTCTGGTTTTGCAGGTCATAGATTCACCCAATGTTTTGCCTTTTGAGACTTGAGTAGATGCATACACACTTCTAAGCACATATCCCCACACACTTTCATGTATATATTTGAGCTAACTTCTCACACCAATCCTTACTACATTTACTAGTTCTGCTAATTGACATGCAGGTTACTTTCAGTTAGCAAGTTTAAGATGGCAGCTTCGAAGTACAATCCTGAAATGATGCAGCAAATGACCATCGATTTCAATGGACGGATATTGTAGTCATAATAGTGAAACTGCCTGTTGGAAGATACAGATATTTGTTTCATTTCCTCTCCCGTTTGACAGAACAAAATCTACGAGAGCCTGAAAAAAGACAGGCCAAATTTCCCAGGAAATAACAACATTATATTTCCGAGCAAATGAATGCAATCCATTTTTGTTACTGGCAGCCATGGTTCATAATTCTTATGACAGATTTCTCTCTTTCTGGTTCAAAAAGGTAGCGCAGAGCCAGAAGAACAGGCGTTGCCCTTGGGAAAAATGGTATCTTTTCGCCTAGAGCAACATGACAGGGAGTGCTGGGAAATTACTGCACGCTCCACAGAGGCTACTGGCTCCAGTTCGCCATGTGGACTAAGACAGACGCCTGTTGATGACCCCGCCTTGCTGGACCTTAGAAGCTGGGAGCAACAAGCAATAGTTGCCTCAGAACCTTGATGTCCAGATTGCTCCTGCTCAAGAGGCCAGCCACTGAACCATAGCCCTTTCCACAGCACTGGATCCCATGTCTTCTTTCACTGATGCCCTATTTCCACACCACAATGATCAGCCAGAATTCTGCACTGCTCAGTCCTTATTGGGAAATTTCTCGCCTCCCCCCACTTAAGCTGTTTACCCCCTGAACATTTCTTCTGCGTCTACAAACCTTGGCATTCCTCCAAGCTTGCTGATAGCTCCCATTTGTACATTGACCCACACCCAGATAATGAACTCCCTGTTGCTACATAGGGTGAAATAACATTCTGGAATCCTCAGTATTCCAGAGAAAACCCATGTCCCCTAGTCCTTTGGTCAAACTGGATCTTTTTGTTCCTGGCTTTTTTTTTCTCCATAAAGCTCCCCAGCAAGTGGTTTTAATTAAATGCTATTTAACTCCCTCAACTGATGCTAAAAAAGTTATATCTTCTTTGTGTTACACCACTAAGAGCTATTATTCTAATCTATTTCATGCTTGAATATTGGAAAAGATATAACAATCCTTCCAAAGCAGAGACTCCTACACAAAAGCCAGCAGAAGAAAGCAAAGACTTATTTTCTGGTTTTTTAATCTTTGTCCATACAGGTTGTGTGAAGTTCTGATGAGGTCAAAACAGTGAAAACCCCATGTGAAATTTTGTGGCTTTGTGCTTTCTTCCTCATATGTACTCCCCCAAAGACAAAATGGAAATCCATGTTAAGTGCAGAACATTAGTTTGTCGATGTCAGTAGCTTATGCCGCTCATCTTTCTTTAGCCCTTGAGGAGACCCCCCTTAACCTGCTTTAAACATTAAAACTCCTTTCAGCTGGAAGTGAGCTGAAGTTTTCCTAGTGTGCCCTGTTCCAGGGAATGCTAGAGACCGGGGAATATCGTGCTTACATGCTGAGCTTAGTATATGTGGATCAAGAGTCAGAAAACAGAAACTCCGAGGGAGGCAATGCTGAGAGTCTCTTAATGTTTACATATATTCCTTTCAGCATTTATTAATTAGCTATTTCTCTTTTATCCTATATCTAAGTTTGGAAGTACTTGAGAAAACTAAGGTCATGGCATCCGGTCCTCTCAGTTCCTGGCAAATAGATGGGGAAGAAATGGAGGTAGTGACAGATTTTATTTTCCTGGGCTCTAAGATCACTGCAGACGGGGACTGCAACCAAGAAATTAAAAGACGCTTGTTCCTGGGGAGGAAAGCTATGGCAAATCTAGACAGCATACCAAAAAGCAGAGACATCACCCTGCCAACAAAAGTGTGTATAGTCAAGGCTATGTTTTTCCCAGTTGCAATGTATGGCTGTGAAAGCTGGACCATAAGGAAGGCTGAGCGCAAAAGGATTGAGGCCTTTGAATTGTGGTGCTGGAGGAAACTCCTGCGAGTCCCTTGGACCGCAAAGTGATCAAACCGGTCAGTCCTAGAGGAGATCAACCCTGACTGCTCTTTAGAAGGCCAGATACTGAAGATGAAACTCAAATACTTTGGCCACCTAATGAGAAGGAAGGACTCCCTGGAGAAGAGCCTAATGCTGGGAACAATAGATGGCAAAAGAAGAAGGGGATGGCAGAGAATGAGGTGGCTAGATGGAGTCACTGAGGCAGGTGGACTCTGGGAGATGGTGGAGGACAGGAAGGCCTGGAGGAATGTTGTCCATGGGGTCGTGTTGGGTCGGACACGACTTTGCGACTAACAACAACAACAACATTACACACATGAGAATGCTAACACTTTAACTTCTGGTGTAATGACAGTCATCATTAATATGGCTAAAAGAATATTATGCTTATACTGTGGTGTAGTGGTACGAGTACTGGACTGGGGACCTGGGAGATCTGGGTTAAAGTTTGCACTCAGTCCTGAACCCCATCAGATCATTTTAGGCCAGTCATGGATCTTCAACCTAATCACAGGGTTGTTAAGATTTAAAAAAATAGAGTGGAGGAGGATTATGTAAGCTGCCTTGTGCTCTTTGCAAAAGGAAAATTATGGGCCATAAATGCAATGCAATAAGAACAACAATAAGGCATTGTTTAGCCTAGCAAGTGGACCAGCGCTTCATGTTGGAGTAGTCAGCTTCTTCCTTTTATCAGACATAGATCCTTTTCTTCATATCAGTAACTAGCAACTTTAATTAGGTTAGAAACCTAGTTTGCATCTGAGATATATGACACCAGCAATGCCAGAGGAGGCTGAAACGTGGACAGACTTTAAATGGCATATGAAGAGATTGCTCTTCCAATCTGGATTCTTTCCTAGGTAGGATGAGTATTTACCTAGCAATACACTATGCTACCATAAGGATGCTAGTCATGTAGGATGGACACTTAATGTAGGGTGGACACTTCAGCTGCCACCAAAGAGAGGCATTTTAAAAAAGGAAGGCACAGACTGGCATTCTCCCAGTTTGTATGAATGGATCAAGATGTGGACCTTCTTTCAATTTTGGAGGAGCTCTTTGAGATCATTTGTAGGATTGAAGACAAAAGGGGCAGTGCCAAAGGCCAAAGGGGACCAAATGTACTAAAAACACCACAACTGCATATTGTGCTTTAGGAAGACATGTCAAGCTTTTAGACTGGGGCGAATCCTGCATGAGAGGCAGAAAACCACCACACAACCAACAGTTGTGGGGAAAGGGGGTGGGCAGAGCCATGTTGAGAACCTCAGAGAGCTGGATTTTGTCCCTGGCCTTAGGTACTGCTTACTGGTATAGCTGAACAATTAAGAAGGATTCCTGTTAAAACAGAAAAATGGTGCATGTCACCAGGCTTAAGAAATGGTAAAAAGACAGGCAAAAATTGGGTGCCCCAACGTGTGCATACAGAAATGTTCTCACTAGCACAAACAAAGCTACTATGGGATACAACTACATGGACTGTTCAGTTCATCTAGAACGTCAAGAGGCAAATGTATTTTAGAAGGGTTTTTTAAGCCTGCAATTATTAAGATAGGAATTCCCCTTGAATTTACTGGTGTTTTACTTCTACATAAAAGTGTCATAATACAGACTCTGGTCTTAATGGCGTTATGGAACAGGTCCTTTTATAGATGATAATGTGCATTACATCATTTACTTAGAATTGTGGTAAGGCAGCCTTGGGCATTTAGGGTCCCTCTAGGACCTTCCGGGTCCCTTTCTTCTGAGTGGGGCCCTGCACTCATGACCAAACTTCTGTCCTGCTGGTGCCCTTCACAGGATCATGCTCCTGGAGATCCTGCTGGCTCCTCAAAAGCCCAGCCCAGCTCCTCTTCCTGGGAGTGGAGTAGGGCTGGCCTGGGGTTTAAATTGCGAGTTGTGAGTTCAGCAAAGGGGAGCTATAAAAATGCTTAGAGCTCAGAGTATCTTGAGCTCTAAGGGGTAATGTGCTTTTTACTGAAGCAAATGCTCTGTAAAACCAGGAGAGGTACTGCATTAAAGCACTCTTCAAAGTGTTGTGCTCTCCTCTTTAAACACTGAGTGGCCATTAGAAAAAATGAGCAAATACAGACTTTTTATAATAATGGATCCTCTAAGTGGTTTTTTAAAGAATCTCGCACAATTGGCGTCTATATTGCAGAACCTGGGCTGTGTGCACCTTAAACTAATAAAAAAAAGTGATTAACATTTTGCATCAGGTAGCCAAAGCTCTGGCCCAGAAAAGCCAAATTCTGGCTATTTCTGTATGGTCACTTTGCACAACGTGGTGTGTTGTAACTGACATGAGAGTGATGCAACGTCAGGATGCGGTCTCTATCCTGACTGATGTAACTTCGTTCCCAGTCTCACTTTTCAGACTACCTCAGTAGCAGGGGCCTCTTCACAGCCAGTTTTATTCCTGAGGTAAAGCGGAAAAGTTAGTTTTTGGACAGGTAGGGAGTGCAGTGAAAGTGCCCAACTATTGGACTTTCTACTAGGCAAGATGTTCAGGGCAACCATGCAAAACATGTGCTTGTCCCATTTATATACAAAATAGTATTTAAATTACCTATATAAATCCTTTATTTTAAATAATAATAATAATAATATATAAATAATTATTTATATAAATAAATGAACATAAATAATCTCTCTCTCTTTCTCTCTCTCTCTCTCACACACACACACAGAGAGAGAGAGAGAGAGAGAGATGGAGAGAGAGAGAGAGAGAGAGGATAGATAAAGACAATGTGGGGGGAAGGAACAAAATGGACCCCTCACCAAATTTCTCTCTGCTGCTTTTAAACCGTTTCCTCCTGCTTGGGCTGCAACTGGGCAGAGAGACTGCTGCAGTTGATCTGGTCCCTTATATTAGGCTTCCAATGTCAGTGGCTGATCATGGAGCTATTATAGTGTCTCAGCCTACAACTTATTTCACGGGGATGCCATGAAGATCAGCCGAGGGCATATGAGAGATGTAAAAGGAATGTAACCCGTCCCCTGCGGAAAAGCATTCTCCTCTTTGGTGCTGCATCTCACTTTCTCATTGTGCATGTGGTAGTCCGGTTACTGTTGAGCACGTCACCCATAATGGTGCAGGCCAGAAGCACTTGCTTTCAGCTCGGAGATCTGGAGTATGTACAGAAAAATACACATCTTAACAATTGCCTAGAGCAGTCTGATGCCCTGTGAATGTGAATGCTCAGCATATCTAGAGGGTTTCATACACAAGGGTGAACAACGCAAGGTCTTTTGGGTGTGGGACTGTGACTCCCATTAGCCCTAGCCAACAATGCCAAAGGAACAGCATGATGGGAGCTGCTAAACAGCATCCGGAGCACCACAGAGGGTGGTTTCAAACAGTACTGGAGCATGGTATCTCTTAATTTGTATTTTTTTAAATTATGCAATACAAAAACAACCAAACCACACTCTTACAGAAGAAAAAAAAAGAACTGAAACATTAGACTCAGTGAATAAAAATTTTAAAAGATCCATAGCACTCCTTCCAGATATATGATATATCTCTATATATTGGCATATAACATACGGTGCTACTATTATCCCAGGTTATCTGAAGGATCAACTTCCCCTGTATGTAGCTATGTACCTTAGATCATCTTGCAGGTCCTTCTCAGGGAACCTCCTGACCAGGGGAAGGGCCTTTTTGGTTGTAGCCCCCTAGCTTGGAACGAGCTCCGGAGAGGTATGTCTACAGGCTACCCTTCTTTCTTTTCATGCCAGGTAAAAATATTTTTACTTACCAGGTATTTTAATAGTTAACTTTTTATTAGATAATACTGTGCCTGTGTGCTAACAGAGGATGTTATTATAGTCATTCTACTGGGCTATTGTTTTATCATTTTACTGTGACTGGATTTTTTTCTGTTTCTATTTTTATGTCCTTTTAACTTTGTAAACTGCCCAGATAGCCATTTGGCTATTGAGTGGTATAAAATGAAATAAATAAATATTATTAAAATAATTACATATATGCTTCAACAGAGGCACTCCAAAAATCTGTATATTATCTACCGGTAGGCTAGGCCTAAAGGCCACCTGTTCAGAAATAAAACATTTTATTAAATCCTCCACCAAGACACCTCTAACTCAATCAGTTTATGCCATCCTTGCCTTTTAAAGACTTCACTGCTATGCACACATGCCTTGGACTGCATCTGTTTGAATTCAGTGGTACTTTTTCCTGCATAGACATGCCTATGGTTCACTCTGACTGGTGGTAATGCTTCCTTGTGAGTTATTTTTATTTAAATCTTTAAAAATCAACATATGGGAAGTTCCATTCTGTGGGCTATTTTCTTAGTCAATATGAACAAGACTGGGTTGCATGTAAATTTATTAATGTGCTCATGCATTGCACACCTAACGAGTTGTGCGCACGTAGCTCTCGCTTTTTCTCTGAGATATAACAGGCAAAGCCATTAGCAGCACAGTCTCAACAATTCAGCTGAAAATCTGAAAGGCTAACTGTTCCAAATGACTATAAACTGTACATGGATAACAGGACAACATAATGTCATTTATAGCATAATTAAAACAACAACAACATCTGATAGGGCTGGAGCAAATGGACCTGGTCTTATATGCTGGCAAATTCTGCAATTACGAAGAATAGTTTTCTGAGATATAGAACTGGTTGTTAGATGGCTTTGAAAAATACACTGCTTTCAGTCTCTCTCTGTCTGTATGTTTACTTCTTTCTCAATAACAGTTTGGTTAGAATGTAAGTATAGCTCCACTTCTTGTTAACTACGACCTTTCTATCTTTAGATATGAGAGTGACACCTTTGTGAGGGAACTTTACTAAGACGTAATACTTTAAAAAATGATAAAAAGTAAGGATATTAGGAAATGCCTGAAGCAGAAAGGTAAAAAGGATTAAGAGATGCAGAATCAGCATGGAGGCTTGTTAATGACTCCCTTGTTATGGTCATAGAAGGAAGCCAAAGAGGGAACTAACAGAAAGAAAAATAATAGGCTGATTAGACAGAAACATCCAAGGAGTTACCTGCCCCACTCCTCCAGGTGGCTGCTCAAGCAGAGGTCAGGTGTGAGTCACACAGGGAGGACCTGGCCCTTGGTGGTTCTGCCTTCTCCATGCAACAGCTTCCCCAGACAGAGGAGGAAAGCACTGATGCTTTTATCATTCTGATGACAGGTAAAGACCTTTGTGATCTCCAAAGCATCGAGTGGTTAAGCATGTGCATATTTGACAGAAATGAAGTCTTGCAAGTCCTGCAAGCTGGATAGGGAATGTTGGGATTTGTAGTACTTTTTTTCTATCTAAGTATGCACAGGATTGTGTCTTAAGTTTTTTTATGGCACTCTGCATTTTAGAGTTTCTAACTTCTTTTACTTAATTTTAGCTTAATTCATATCAGTCCCTGACTATAGTGATCTTACAATATTTTTTTTATTTCTTTTGAGCCACTTTGACTATTTTAAATAGAAAAATTACATTACAACAATGTATGTAATAACAATAAATTAGCTACAGCATTTAGCGGCTAATACTGCAGGTGGCACAGTGGTTTAAACCGCTGTGCTGCTGGGCTGGTTGATCAAAAGGTCGCCAGTTTGAATCTGCACAACAGGGTGAGCTCCTGTTACTCTGTCCCAGCTCCTGCCAACCTTGCAGTTCGAAAGCATGCAAATGCAAGTAGATGAAAAAGTACCACTTCGGTGGGCTTGTAACAGCATTCTGTGCACTTCGGTGTTTAGTCATGCCAGCCACATGACCACGGAGACTGTCTGCGGACAAATGCTGGCTCCCTCGGCTAGGAAACAGAGATGAGCACCGCCCCCTAGAGTCAGGTATAACTGGCCTTAATGTCAAGGGAAAACCTTTACCTTTTTACCTTTTGCAGTTAGAGTAATAATAAAAAACCCATCAAAAAAAAATCTGAGAATCTTGGGCATTGTAAAGACAGGTAAATTATGGTATAAAAATGAATCTGTCAGAGCCAAGCCACACTTGTTGCACAATGCTGGTGAATGGTCGTCTTGCAGTGATGCAAGTAATTTTAAATCTTGCACTTAACGGTTTTATTTTCCCTCCCCCTTTCAATAGCTAAATGTATTATTTTAGATGTAAAGCACACAGCTAATAGTGCTTTTCTTGCGCTTTCTGACATTTTATGCTTTAAAACTGCTTAGAGCTAGCCTCCCACACACCTGTTGACTGACTTGATAAAAAGAAATATTCTGAGCATGTGCAGTTTAAACTCATTTTGGGAGTGATTCTAGGACAAGCACACACCATTTCCGGGACCGTAGGATAATGGGGATTCAATCTACCTGAAGACAGAAGTCTGAACCTGGGCTGTTCCCCCCATCTCAGGAGGCAGGGGAAGAACTGGACCAGATGCTCTGAGTGGGATGTCAACCTCAGAAAGAGGGTAAAGGGGGTGCTCTAGGGGATGTGGAAGGGAGCAGTCTGGAGGGTTCATGATACAAACTATTCCAGCTTCCTTCCTTCCCTCCTGCTCCAAGATGACTCAACTTGATGGCCATAATGGCTGTCTAGCTGAAATGCAGAGAAGGGAGGTAGAGGGCACCTGCACCACATTTTCTGCTCTACATTGGATGCTCATAAGACCGTCAAGACTGGGAGCTTAAAGGCTGCACTTCTATGCATGCTTGCTTGGAAGTAAGGCCCACCAGAATCAAGGGCTCTTACCTTTGAGTATACTGGTATACAGTTGGGCTGTAGGAGAACAGCGTATGAGAATTCTGTGTTATGTGTGTTTTGACACTTAGTTTTTGATACGGCAAGTTCTTTGGTGGTTTTTACTGTGCAAATCAATACTGCAACCACTTTGTCATATTACAATTATTAGAGCGTTCATTGCCTATGATGAATATTGAACAATGTTGTACACCCTAAAACAGTCTTAATTATTTTGACTAATGTACTTAGTTCATTTGCCATTGATAATTAAACCCTTTGCCATTTATCATTTTGCAGTCCCACTTACACAAACTACAAGAATATAGTTCCTTAAATATTGAAACTGGGAATGACTAAAGGCAAATTACAGATGAAGATTGAAAATAATGAGTCTGACAAATGATCACCCACATATTACCCATTAATTTTTTACTAATGAATAGTGAATGTATGTAGGTTTAAAATAACTTTCCAATTAGATTCATTAAATTGTAAACATGTTTCATAAACAGGATGATAGAAATTGAAGGCACCCCCACTGGTCAAAAATATTTCAAATTAAAAATGTTAAAATCAATAATGGTATAATACTTTTATTAGGCCAACTCAAAGGCCTCAAAATACAGTGCAAGCTTTCAAGTTCCGCAGAACTTCAGCAGCAAAGATAGTAGGCAAAGCAGTAACAAAACGAGCTGGAAAAAGACTTATGGCAAAGCCATGGAGTCTGCATTTGGTTACAGTCTTAAGATAGAAAGTAGAAAGAAGCTGCAGACATTCAAATGAAGCTGTATTTGGATGATACCAGCTTCAAACGAAAACTCTCCAGGTGCTGCTGAGGAGAACAAACCATGATTGGTTCCCCAAACTTGGAAAATGTAAAATCCAGGTGTTTACACAGAACTGTTCTATCTATGGGTGATTAAATATTCCTTGGTAGGCGGGAACGGAACTAGATAAAAACTAGACAGTTTTGCCCTCTATTTGGAGGACTTCTAAATCTGATTTACAGATTTTGTTTCAGTTCTTTTGAATGACAATTTATCAAAGTTTGTAGATTCCTCTATATTTAAGATATAAAGAACATGAAATTAAAGCAAACAACCAAACAAATGGAATGTGGCAGAAATAAAAAATGTCAAATTCATCTATCCAGCCCCAGCTCTGAGTGCTTAATTCATATAGGTCTGTGTTTGAATTCTTGTGTATTCAGCCATATTAGTGCTGAAAGAGTAACCGTTTCTTTATTCTAACAGGTTCCTCATGTTTAAATAACTGTATGCAAGTAGGTACAATGCTGCAACTAGCTGTACCTTTTGAACCTGCATGGTGCAAAAGTATGTTCCAATTAATTTTGATTAAAAATACAGAAATTTGCAATATCTAACATATTCAGGACAGAAAGTATGTGAGTTTAAAAAAACAATTCAGCAGAAAGCAAAACTGACAGATTTGTCCATGTATGATCTGCTTTAAAAGCAAGGAATTGTAAGGTGTGAAGCTGCCATTCAGTATTTAGCATCTAAGAGTAGACGGCACAGACACTCAAAACATCTGCAGTCATTATGATTTGTAGAACTGGAATTCTACATATGGACTTTCTTCCCTTCCTCATGGCTCTATGTCCTGGCAGTTATGTTTCCCACATTTTTGCTCTTTGCTTTTCTGGATTAAATCTGGAGCTGAACTATAGGAGAACACAGTATGTGTCTCCCTTTCCATTGCCCATTCATTCAGGGCTCATGGGTGGAACCAACCATGCCTTCTGAACAATACAAATGAGGTGACTTCTGTTCCCATGTACAGGTCAGGTCAAAACATGGCATCCTTGGACAGCCTGCAGCCCACGGCATCCTACCAAGCCCAACTGCTGTTATCTGTTGAGGTTTCTCTTGCCTGATCCTGCCTAATTTTGGAAGCTAAGCAGGTTTGGGCTGGGCTGAACTCTGAATGGATGTCTTGAGTCCTGCACTGAGCAGGTGGTTGGACCTGATGGCCTACTAGGCCCCTTCCAGCTGTATGATTCTATGATTTTCCCACAATGACCTGGAGCTGCCTGCAGCCTGCTGGTGACTGGAACATTGCTCCTGCTGGCCTCGAATTCTCTCTGTAGGGATCACTTACATACAAGTGCCCACCCAAACCCGGAGCCTGCTCTGCCTACCAGCAGCAGCACTTGGTGCATCCAAGAATCTGGCTACCTCAGATCTCCCTTGAGATGTGGCCCCTACCCATATATTAGGAAGAAATATGGATCTTCACAGCATAGGGTCTTCGACATCTTCACCATGCGGGATAGTTCATGCATCCAGTGTGAAAGCTTATATTTTTAAGCACAGATTGTTTTTTTTCATACCATACTAGTGTGTCTCCAAGAAAGTTGGGACTCATCACCTGGTGCCAAGAACTATATCTTCAGGGTTTCTTTAGCAATCATCATCATCATCATCATCATCATCATCATCATCATCATCATCCTGGTGCTGTACAAAGATAAAAATGTGTTTTCTGACATAGAATTTAGAAAGAGAAAAGTCTGTGAGGTTTTGACCATATGCTATAGTAGAGACAGTTAGCTAACATTCTTTAAAATCCCACCTCAGCTATGAATGTATAGCTGGTCTTCAAGTGTATGTGTGCGTGTGTAACATCAATATAAACTTATTTATGTTGGGATTTCTGGCTTGTGTTTCAATCACAAAGCATCCCCTCCGCCACCAATTGTTGGCTTCAATTACCCATCTGAAAAATAGGTCCTTAATAACTGTCTGCAGAGGGCTGTTCTAATGATGTAGACTGTAGATTGAAGTGTTGTGGGGAAGAAATTTCTAGAGAAATCCGAGCATGCTTTCTGAATGGCAGAAGTCTGGGAAAATACAAACTTCTCTATGATTTTCTCTAAGAAAGTAAAACTTTTAAGCAAACAATTACATCTGTTTGTGGATCTATGCCAGAAACAAAGAATGGCCAAGAAGAAAATGCAGCTAATATCTGTTTGCGATGTGCCAACGCGCTCCCAATATTAGCATCTACTTTCCCTTTTAGATCCAAACGAGCTTCATAGCCAAGCTAATGCAGCTCCGGAATGGAATGACTTTCCATCTACTTTGTGTTTCTGTAGAATTAAGCAAAAATAAAAATCAAATTACATTAAAAATAAAAATCCTGATTAACTTTTTGTTTTTGCAAACCTAGGAGTTAAAGACGACAAATTCTTCCCATGACTTACTCTCAAGTGGTCCTTGTGCATAACAAACTTTGATGTGATTTACTCCTGTACACATGACATGGGAATCTGTACTTATTACCTGATTATTAAGTAAATAAACTTATAGTTTACGTATCTTTCTAAACACACACTCACAGAAATTCAAGTATTCTACCCACATTTTCAGATACTGTCCATTGACCCCAAATTCACAGGTATTACATCTAATATTTTTAGACAAGAATATGAGCAAGTCACTGTGCCTGTATATTGAAGAGCTATTTTGCAATGGAATCAAGTTGTGACGCATATTGCCCACTGTAGGAATGTGATGAGCGGCATTTCTATTTCAACTATAGTGTTTAATTTCTAAATATGCATCTATACTTATACATGTGCAGATGCAAAGCCTATTCAAATTGGTGCCATCTTTTGGCCTTTGTTTTGCTGATGTGTACATGGACCTTCTAAACATTAAAAGTGCTTGTGTTCTGCCAGCTTCTTGTATATTCCTCACAATGGTGCTAGACCTGGTTAAGTTCATCTACTGTGGCCCTGCTTCAGTTTTCCTTGCCTTTGGGAGTCAGGCAGATGGCAACTGAGAAAGATCTTTCCAGTTGTGGTGACTCAGATATGAACTGCTCTCCTCAGAATGTCACCTGGCATCAAATCTTATGCCTCTGCTTCCCAGGAGCTTTACCACTGCTTGAAAAACCAATAAAGCCTGTGAGTTCCGCTACTGATGGGGGATCATT